TGAGGTAACTAACCTCATAAGAAGTGGTATTTACTCAAACAGAGCAGCTATGGCTACTCCATGCAACTTCATCAGAATTAGACACAGCCTGGAATTTCAGCTTTTGATTACTATGAAGACAAATTAAGCCAAGTTTTATGGATTCAGCCATAAAGTAATAGGTATTATTTGGTTTGCATTTACATTACATCATTTGAATTTACATTTGAACCTTACTTCAACAGTAGTATGTTAATTAATAACTGTTTTACACTGCCAAAGGATCGTACGATAATCCTTCAGGAAACTTAATTATTTCCTCATGCTGAAGACATCTGCAGCTATGTGTGCATATGATGGCTGTTTTAAATTAATCATGCCTTTCTTTTTGTCCTACAGGCTCAAAATACGTTGAATGTGTGTAAGAATTTCAGTAATTCACATTGAAAATGTAAAGAGAGCAGCCTGCAGGATTTTAGATGCTGCATAAAGGTGAGCCAGAGACCATATTATCCTGTATCATCAAGTGAAAGCTCAAACCACATTAGCCAGACTCAGATCTAACAGAACCACTGCTTTTCCTCATTTCTAAAACAACCTCTTTTTGGAGATGGTTCTGAGCAGGACATCCTGTCATTACATATGTAAAAGCAGCCACTAATTCAAATAAAGTCATGTTAAAGATGCGAAGGCTACTTCTGACATGCCTCTAAGCTTGTCTTTGAAACTGCATGAACAATGTTAGTATAATTAGGAGCAAACCTCTCACAAGACTCTTCAAGTCAACCACTGCTGCATACACATTCTATTCTATATAAACTGAGATGCCAAAGTAAAAAGGCACAGAATAAGGATGTGACAAAGCAAACTTGTCCAAAGGCTGCTTACTCCAAGTTACCTGCCTGAGCCAGGACCATCATGTCCCCTCAGACAAAGCAGTTCTCTTTGCATTTATGCAAAGCAGGCCTTTAAGAAGCAGAACAGTTTTCTGTCCTTTCTTTATCTCCAATCACTGTCTAAAATCCTTCAATGCAAACCCAGAAAATACAAACCTACCCTTTCAGAAGATGGAAAGTTGTAAAAAAACCCAACAAACCCAACCCAACATAAACAACCTCTCATGTTTCACCACAACTACAGATCCAACAGAACTGAATCAGTAGACCACACATCTTTCCAGCCACGCAGATCACATTTAATTACAGTTGGCATTTGGTTCAATAATGGTCTCTTGAAATGATCTTGCAGGTAGATATGGAGACACTTCAAATGCGTATGAACTGAGCAGAATCAAAAGCAATTCCTGGTATTTGTGCATTTCAATTTCTGTCAACATTAAGTTTCAGTAAGCTCTAAAG